TATGAGAGACAAATTCTCATCATCCTTGCTTCTAAGGAGCATTCTGGCTGTACTTCCAACACAGATTTGTTTGTTTTTCTGTCACCCCATGACACTTAGACTAATCTTTACCAAAACCATAATTTAAATGCATTGATTTTTCTCTGGTCTTTCTTACTCATTGTCCAATTTTCACATGCGTATGACAGTTGAAGATACCCTGGCTTGGGTCAGGTGCACCTTAGTCCTCAAACTGACATTTTTGCTCTTGAACACTTTAAAGAGGTCTTGTGCAGCAGATTTGTCTACTACAATACATTGGTTGATTTCTTGACTACTGTTTCCATGATTGTTGATTGTACATCCAAGCAAATTGAAGTCTTTGACAACTTCCATCTTTTCTCCATTTATCATGATGATATTTATTGTGGGAATTTTTTTTTTCTTTACATAAAGGTGCAATACATACTAGAGGCAGTGTTGAGGTGTTCAACCCTTCCGCACACCCTTATTGATTTTAAACAATTCAGTATTACCTGCTCTGTTCTAAGGATTGCTTATTGGTCGATGTACAAGTTTCTGAGACCGCAATTAAAGTGTTCTGTACAGGGTTTCTGAGAGTGGTTGGTGGGTTTGAACTTCTGACCTTATGTTTACCAGTCCAGGCTTATCCTACAGCCACACAAGAGAGGGCACACATGGCTAATTACAGAAAATGGAAAACAAATCTGTCACAAAATCATGATTAGTGTCAGATCAAGTCATCACAGTCCCAGGCAAGACTATGGAATTAGGAAAGGAAACATGATTGGGATTAGACACTATTGCAGATTAGAGGAATTTACAAGATTGGTTTTGAGGCCCATTGACTATCTTGGTTGGAGCATGGCTCATGACCATCAGGTCCTATAGACTTGATTTCCTTTATGGACACGGCCAAACAAGTCCATAAAAAGGAGACGGCTCCTTTCTTGGATAACTAGGGCAGTCATAGTAATCCACTTTTAAGCACACTCTCTCTGAGGGCAAAACTTTCTACATTGTCAAGTTAATAGTCAAAAATAAAGCATAAGAGGCTGAATTTAAGACTCAAAATGGAGTGGGCTACCATTGTAAAATGGAGTTCCGGTGTGGCGCTGTGGGTTAATGCACCAGCCTGCAAAGCCATTTGTACTGCAAGGCCGGTGGTTCAAGCTCATCAGCTGCTCCTCAGTAATCCTATACAGGGTCACTGTGGGTCAGAACCGACTCGTCAGCACTTAACAACAACAACCATTGTAAAATGTAGCCTTTTGAAAACCAAGTGCTTAGAATTCAAGCTTTAGTGAAAATTTAAAAGTTGATAAATCAGCTTTATTAAAATTATTTTTTTTAAAATAAAAGACACCATTTACTCATATCTAATAAAGGGTTCATAGTCAGAATATGTGAGGAACTATCTACAGACATGTTGTTAAATGCCTTCAAGTCGGTTCTGACTCAAAGATAGGGTTTCCAAGGAGGGGCTGATTTTTGAACTGCCAACTTGTGGTTTTCCTACAATGCCACACCAGCATACATTGTGCATATTGCAGTTTGGTTTTGACGACTTCAATAAAATGAATATTACAATACAGCGAGTCGCACAGATTTTTTGGTTCCCAGTGCATATAAAAGTTATGTTCATACTATATTGTAGTCTATTAAATGTAGCATTATGAAAAAAGGATTAAAATATAATGAGAATTACCAAAATGTGACACAAAGACATGAAGTGAGTACATGCTGTTGAAAAAAATGACACCAATAGACTTGCTCAAGGCAGGATTGCCACAAACCTTCAATTTATAAACACTGCATTTAACAAACAACAACTTAACAACATACTTACCAGTAAGGCTAATGCTGGAAGAACTGACAATACCTAGGGCTGAGTTTACAGAGCAACAAGAATTGTCACATTGCTGGTGGGAATGTAAAATAATACAGCTCAATTGAGCAATTTCTAATGCAAAACAGATCTTTATTTAATCTATGACTGCGCCATTCCACCTTTAGTCATTTACTCAAGAAAAAATAATTTGTATTTCCAAATAAAAAGATTTGTACAAGGATGCTTATAGCAACTTAATAGCCTCACATTGGCTGTAACTCAAATTTCTATTAACCATGAAGGTGTTCAGAAAAAATGGTACATTCGTAAAACAGACTAGTACAGAGCACTACTACATATGTTGGGGTTTAGCCCCAGAAGGTCTTCTGTGCATGTGATAGCCGAGAGGCCGAAAAAATCAACCAGGAATCAATCCGAGAGACATTCATTAATATAATGAATATAATATTTATTATAATATTCAAATATGAGAAATCATTTTCTGACAGGGAAACTTACTAACCAG